AGCCTCCCATTGGAAACCCTTTTCTTTGTGTTGCATTGTCCTGGAAATGTTCCTAAAAATATGGCTTTGCATGTTAAGCTAAGCTTTGACCTTCATCCAAAACATCTGTTGCTGCCACCAGCAAGCTGTCATGGCACTCTACTAACAAACTAACTTAAGCAAGCCATCCCAGGAATTTCTGTATTTTATGGATAAATCATGCCTTCAGTTAAGAAGCTTGCTTGCAAGAGTCACTAAGTTGGAGTGGATCAGAACTTATTTGGAGAAGAAAAGCCTGCACAATTTCTGTAAAAAATATATATTGTTTGGGGCTGGGGGGAAAGCATGGAAAACATTTTGTACCTTGGGCCAGTTTGCTGATCTCATTTGCATGTGATTTCAAATTATTCAGGTTTTTTTTCCCCCAAGTCTGGGGTTGTTAACATCCCAGTTATATACGTGAGTTGCTTTATTATCTTTGTATCAAATGGTAATTGCAAACTGGATACATATCAGCCTCACGAACAACACTATTATTTTCTACTTACAGATAGCCCTCACTTAATGACAGTAAATTGGAATGGAATTTCTGTTGCTAAGTGATGTGGTCGTAAAGCGTGACATCATGTGATCATATCGCTTAGCAACAGCAATCTCAGCAGTCAGTGTTGCCATTGTAAAGCGAGGATCTTGTGAACTGCACAGGGCTTGCAAATTCCTGCAGGCTTCCAACAAGCAAAGTCAATGGGGAGCCAGCAGGAAGTCACAAGTCCAGGCCAGTGGGTGAGTAAGTGGCTGCTGCAGGGCCGCACAAGCACGGCCAGGCAGGCAGTGGCTGCTGCTGGGCGCAGGAGGGTGCACTAGTGGCTGCCATGGCACCACACAAGCGCAGCCAGGCAGACATGCTCTATGGAGTGTGAGGGGAAGAGTGCTGCAGGCGGACATGCGCTATGGAGTACGAGATCCCCAGGATCTCATACTCTGTAGCCAGGCTTCTCAGGAGAAAAGGTGGCGGGAGTAGGAGCGATTTACAGAAGCAACTTGCAACCTTCCCTGACTTTGCTTGTGGGAAGCCAACAGGGAAGGTTGCAAATGGTGATCCTGTGACCATGGGATGCTACAACTGTCATACGTGCAAGCCTGTTGCCAAGCTCTTGGATCGCAATCATATGACTACAGGGGTGCTGAGACAGCCAGAACTTTGAGGATGGGTCATAAGTACCACTTGTTCAGAGCCGTCATAACTTTGAACAGTCACTGAATGAGTGGTCATTAACCAAGGACTACCTGTAATTCATAGCCCAGAATAAATTCAACCAGGGGATGACAATAAATTGAGTACTGTTAACCCCAGAAAAATGAAATATGTTTATATTCTGAACTTTGTCTTTCCATCCGGTTTGAAAAGCAAAAGCTAGGTTGCATTTAGCAGAACAAATATAAGTTCAAATATATTCTTGAACATGAGCATCTCTAAATTAACAATGTCTCATTCAGAAAGTACTGCTTGCACAGGAGCACAATACAAATTTGGATTTATTAATTCAGATATATTCACATGCTTCAATGCATGCAGCATTTTTCATTACATGAGAATATTACCACCAAACGGTGTATGTTGTGAACTGTGACGGTGCTGATCACTAATTGAACAGTTCCTGGATTTAGTCATCCATCCTGCAAACCAAGAGCAGGAAGGATCCTGGCATCTTTATTTGAAAGGATATAAGATACTGGCATTAGATTTCTGATTGGGAACATGGAAAGCTGCTGCTGATTTCAACAGATAGATGTGAGAGATTATGGGGAGGCTGGAAAAGAAATGGAAGAGAGAGTAGACATAAACAATCAGTAAATCAGTTGGCAGCCTCCCGCCACTATCTTGAAAGCTGAATATTTTGCTCCCCACATCCCACCCTCAACACCAAAACATTAAGATCTTTGACCGTCTCGACCATGTGTGATTACAGCAGCAACAGGATCCATCTGTCTAGACTGGGTTGGGGAAGCATAATTCTTTGCTCTTTCCACAATGCTTGTTTATATGTGTCATTTCTCTAAGGCCTAAGATATTGCAACCCTGCCTTGACTTTGCATCTTTTACTTAGCGATTGCTGGTGGCCTCACATGCAAATGGATACTAAGGACTGTGTTTCCCGTCATCATGTCTATTGCCAAGGCAATGGCCTTGTTGTGGCCAAGCTGGCTGGACTGACTGAACCCCTTCCATCCTAGGCTGGACCTTGGGACATAATCTTGTGTGATTTTATTATTCATCTGTTGATGTGAAAGTTTTCACAACTATAATGGTGGTGATTGATCTTTTTACCAGGTTGGTTAAATTTATTCCCTGTATGAGACTACCCCCTGCATAAGAAGCTCTTTCTAGTCAATGTCTTTCATTACAAGTCTCTGCTTAATCATATGATCTTGGATCATGAAGCCCAATTTACATCCCATTTCTGGAAATCTTTCTGCCAATTATTACATGTACAAATTCATTTATCATCCTCCAATCTCCTGAAGACAGATAAAGAGACAGAGAGAACCAATACAACCCTTTAACAATACTTACACTGCTATGTCTTGTATCAACAGGACAATTGACTGGACTTTGTGCCCAGAATTTGCTTATAACAACCCTTTGCATGCCACAACTGTCTTTTCCAGGTGGCTTATAGCTGTAACCCATGCCATTAATCTTCCAAGGTGCCCTCGTCTGTAGTTCCTCGGATGAGGGCACATCCACCTTCCTAGAGGAACAGCAAGCAGCGCAACTCCTTCTCAAGGAACAGCTGGACCTTGCCACAGTGGCTCATAAATATATGACAGATGGCCATTGACAATAGTGCTTAACCATTGCTGTGGAGGGTTAAGTGTGGCTTCAACTAAGTTTTTGCCATCTTCCTGCCCTTCAAGGAAGTTAGATTCAAAATTTATAAGCCCCTTCCCGGTATCCACACATATGAGCCCTGTCACCTTTTGTTTACAACTGCCAACTTCAGTGAAGATCCACCTGGCCTTTCATTGCTCTCTACTCTTTCTTAACTGCATTCCAAGCCTACGTTGCTCTGCAGCCCCACCCTCACTCCCTCCTGTTTGGTTGGGAGGGGAGGCACTCATCCCAGTTTCTTCTGGAGGAAGAATTTAAGGTGGAGTGTATTTTATATTCTAAACAATGATGGGGCAAATTGGAATATTTAATTCACTGGAAGTGCTACCCTGATACCGATAGATCCTGGCTGCATGCATCCCAGCTTGTGCATCTGCAGTAGCCCTCTAAGCAGAAACCCGTGAAACTGTCTTCAGCTACTCCTGATTCAGACTGGAAGATGACACTTACTCCTTGTTCTCACCCCCACTTCCACCTTAGTCTTCTTCCTTAGACTCAGACTTGTACACTGCTCTGTACAAGGGTCAGTCAGTCAGGCAGCCATGCCTGTCTCTTCTGCAGCTTTCCAGTGGAGTTTGGCTTGAAAAGTTGCAGGACAGGAAGGGGTCTTCACTTCCTTTCCATTCCATGGTGGAGGGGGGTGGGGAGCAAGAGAGGGGAGTTGGGTGAGACTTTGTGGACAGACTGGGAAAGGAATGGAAGAGAGACTAGACATAAACCATCTAAAGAGTGGGCAAGTCAAATGACAAGTTATCTCATAAATAACAACTTAGCAGAGATAAACCTGTGAAATAGTGTTTCAGATCATTCAGAAACTCTGCTTTATGGATTTACTATAAATGAGGATGGGAAATCCCTCTCACAATTTTTAGAATTCTGTATTTACCCCTAACTAAAGTGATCATTCTGATGTCTGTGTAGTTCTTGCTTCCTTGATCTTGATCAGCTGTGTGGAGCTTGAGAAGAGCATGGCTAGGCCATCTTTGGTAATGCCAAAAACCAGGCAGTTGAGGCAGTTCCCATTTTCCACTTTAGATCTGGTCCAGAAGGATGATTTGCATGCGAGTGAATCATGGCATTACTCTTCTGACCAGTATGCCACTAATTCCCCATTTAAAAAAGTTATTACAATTCAATAAATATGTGTCAACATCACATTACATTTTGAACCCAAACATCTTAAGATACATTAGGGAAAAAAGATATTAGGATTTTAAAAAAAATCTTGTGGCTAAGCCATATGAACCTTTTTATTCAGTTTTGATTATTTTTATTTTTTTCCAATGGAGATTCAAGTTTTAAGTAGCAGGATAATTCTCTTGGACAATGACATAACAGAGTAACATTTGGTACCCATGTCCAGGCCACAATTCTATGTTTTAGGTTTGAATACCATATATAGACTCACAAAGGAAGTGAGAGAATGAGCAAAGCATATGAAACATTGGGCCTTTCTGATCTTCATGGAAACTCAGGTTGAAAACTGGGTTTCACAGCCATTGACATTTTGTGTCTTTACTGTACATAGGTAGTTAACTTTGTGTTTTCAAAGAAGCACTTAAAATTTTACCAAAATGAGGCAAATCTCCTATATCATGATGGCAGTTAGCAATTGAGAGCTGAGGAAGTAGTCTGATGGACTTGATTTAAAAAAAAAAAAGATGAAAAGAAAAGGTGGTAGAGGAAAAAGTAACTTGAAATGCATGTGAGGCAATAACAAATCAGTATAGTTGCTAGTAACATTCAACACTCCATTCAATAAATCTTCCCTTTTATCCACCTATCTGTTTTGATTTTTTTTCGGACTAATACCAGGCAGAATAATACTGACTATGCCTCAGATCAAACTTCAAAATGCAATTTACTGTCACATAGAAGCAAATCCACGTAACTCATTTCTGTACCTTAAAAAAAGTTACATTTTCTTGGTATTTGTACAGAGCTCTACTTTTGCAGGCATTCTGTTGAACAACTGAAAAGAAGCCATGGAAAATTTCACCAAATAGGCACAATACTGATCTGGACATTTCTGCCCTGCTGGGTTAGGAAGAGGATCAGAGACAGTGCATTTTCTTATGGGAAGTAATGTCCGCCTCATTAATTTCTTTTTCTTGTGCTCCTATTGTAGGGCAACCCTCTGTACTTCCAATCTGCTCAGAATGTTACAGTGAACATTCTCAATGAGGACAGTAAAGTTCTTACACGTCTGGTAACAGGTAAGGCAAAGGAAATATCTGAGGAAGAGAAAAAGGGAACTAAAAGGGCATGATGATGAGATATTCTGTGATCATTAGTCCTTGGAATAACCATCACTAACATACCTCGGTTGATACAAGCCATGACCCCAGCTTGTACCTGTAAAACTTAAGAAACAAAAATGCTGGTTGTGAACTGAAGAAGCCATTGTGTTCAGGACACTGAGAATTCGCTTCGTTTGAGAGCAGATCGAGAAACAAGTGCTCCCTTCTCCAAGCAGAATTTAAGAATAAAATTGTCATTTCTGATACGATTATAAATATTAATCAGTAAAGTGCTAGCCATCTCAGGGATTTGCAACAAGCAGAAGACTATCCCTGGATACTTTACATGTACCTGAAACAACTGGCACTTTACTGATTAATATTCATGGCACAGAAGTACTCTGTCTTTAAAAGATTTCCAAAAATCTTTTAAAAATCCCTCATGTGGATGAGTGCCATTTATGTTCACAAAATGCTACACTCCATGTTTGACAGGGAAGTGGATGCTTCAGAAATTCCCCAGCAGACCTGCCACCTCTAAGCACGGGTGTGCTTTTACAGCAGGAGCACAATGGCAGCAAAGAATACAGCCCAGCGTTGGGGTTGGGGTTGGGATTGGAAGATGAGAACCATGCGACCACATATCATTCTGGGTGAAGTTAGATCACCTGGCTTTTTTTTTAAGACCTCTGTCTTCCAGTCAGCAGGCTAAATAATTAAATATAGGGCCTTGGTCAGCATTTACTTTAATTATATGTGTGAAAATGGCCCTGAGGAAGGGACACAAAGTCAATCTTGAATTCTCACATTCAGGAAAGTTGGTGGAACATCTGCTGTTGGTAGGCAGAACATGTAGAGTTGCACCAACAACAGCTGAAGAATAGAAATTAGTAGCAGTTGTAGGAGCAAAGGAATCACAAAGACCATGCAGATATTACAGACAGAAGACTTGTGCCATTGGCCAAAACTGCTGGACTGTGAGAGGCTCTCAAAAGGTGCAACTTTGCCTTTGAGTTTCATGAAGGGACACATTTATTCAAGAAGGGCAAACCAGAGGAAGCCACATCTAGTGTAATTGCATGCACGTTTTGCAGCTAGAATTCTTCAAGATGGCTAATTAAAAAAAAGAAATGCACACCACTTTTGTAAATAAGAAAAATGTATATAGTTCAGGTCTTGGCATAATGTAGAAAGAAATGCATATTTTTTCACTATTCCATCTCATTCACTTAACTCCTCAGTGAGGGGCTTGGGGTCACATTGGGGACCTCCCCCAATGCTTTCATAGCCAGAAGTCTTCTAACTAATAGAAGTACTAGAGGACCCAAAAGTGATACCGAGCAATGTGGTCACTTTGCTTTGAGCTTTAGAAGCAGGAGTTCACATTATTTCATGAAGCAGCTTCAAAGGAGTATTTCATCTGAAGCACTGTCAAAGCTCACTATTTTTTCCCAGCTTTGTACAGCCCTAATAACTGTATAGGCTGTGGCTTTTGTTGGATGTCTAATTTTTATTTCAGGGACCTTGCTCTAAACATTCAAATTTGAGATTCTGCGTCTTGGGGGAAGTAGAGATTGGGGGGATTCAATAAATATTTTATAAATCAATCTGAAAACTTCAGGTGTTTTGTGTTGCACAGGGGGAAGGGTGTTGTGATCATTTCTGTAGATAACTTATTTGTAGATTGATGTGAAAAAATATGCATTTGAGTTCTGTTAAACAGAATCAGGAAGATTTATTTTAAAACAGTTCTGTGTATGCCCATACAAACAGTGGCAACTTAAGTAGAACTAACAATACCAATTTAAGTAAAACTAAAATTGAAAATGGAATGAGCTTTGTGGAGTAGTCATAGGGGAAATGTTTATACAGTGCTGTCCATGTTTATCATCAGAGTGTCTGTGGAGTGTGACATTGGCTTACAGTGGGTCGTAAGTGGAAATTTGAAAGGGTGTTATTACAAAGAGTATGAGAAGAATGATTTCTAGATTGTCTCATTCATTCGTTCGTTCATTCATTCTGTACCCTTTGTTTCTACCCACAGGGTTTTCAAAGTAGCTAACAGGAAACAAGAAAACATAACATAAAACTATTAGGGTATAATTTTTAAAATGGCATGAATAACACCTAAAAGTGTAGCCAACCAAAGGGAAAAGGCCAGAATGAATAAAAGGACATTAATTTCTTTTGTAAAGGGATAGGCTTAGAGGTGATGCCATCATCAATAAAGAAAGCAGGAAGATCCCCAAGTGTATCTATGAGACTAGTCAAATCTATCAGCATTTTAATGTTAACCTTTGTAATCAATCAGTCTAAAACTGATCAAAGTGATCTGTCCATGAAAATACACACAGTTCCTCCTTCTTCAGGCCACCAGTTCCATCTAATGGAATACCAAATCTAGAATATGCTTGATAAGATAGATTTATTAAGAAATACACAGGATAGGAAAGCCTTGATTCTGTCTAAACTACATCTTGAAGAGAGATAAAGTTGGAGGGAGTTCTCTTTGTCTCTTAAACACAGAGACTCACTTAACTATGGAACTGTGTTTCTGTTAATCTGCGTGTTGACACATAATGTACAATTTGTAGGACTGAAAAAAGTTTATTAAGAAATCGCCCCTGAATACTTAACAGCGTTAGAAGGATATAACCCCAAAACAGCCGGGTGAACCCTAACGAAGGGGGAGGTTATGTTCCAGAACTCGATTCATGAGGAAGCTGGGAAAAAGGGGTGAATCTTATAGCCCCTTTTCCCCAGTCCCCCACCCCTTGGAATCCCCACCCTTTGTTCTGGGATAATTAGCAAGGAGAAATTAATGTTTGTATTTACATCCATTGAAAAGGAAAAGATTACAAGAGAGTAAGCAAGCGCACAATGGGGAATACCCACTGAAAGGAATGCCTTGGCGCCAGCTGTTTGCTTAGTGTGCTGGTGGCTGAGATCCTGGAGCCCCTTCAAATAGCCCAAGAAAACCTTTAAAGTGAAACTGAATGGGGCCTTTGCCAATTTCAGATAACAGCGCAAGCCAGCTGAGGGTGCTAGTTAACCTGCGGCTAGCACTTTTCAGAGAAGCGCTGCACTATGAAGAAAAGCAGTTCAGGAAGAGATCGCTTCTTTAAGCAACCTCTCCCCACTGCAAGGGAGAGATTCTGCAAAGGGGAAAAGGGAGAAAACAAAAATACAAATTAGGCAGTCAGGCACAAGACAGGCGGGTAAGAGATGGACAGTGTGTGAAAAATCTTCCCCTTCTTAATGTTCAAAAGGCTCACAGATGGAAAGAGATACAGTCTCCAACAGCTGTAGCACAGAGTAACCCAGTAGAGATTAATTCCTATCTCTTCCATCAGACAGGAGGTGAGGAATCCACTTATTTTCATCTATCTATGCAAGTTTAAAAGTTAATGTAACAAAGTTTTCATAATAACATCTTTGGTTATTAATTCTTGCTGCCTTTGAGAAATGGTGCTGCCCAGGAGTTGATTTCAACCCTGTAGCATCTGATTTGAATGGTATGTAAAACATCACATTTAGAATTTGACTGAGTTATTTATTTCCTTTCCTTTTTTTTTTTTAGATTATTTTTTATCCCACCTTTCTTATTTTTATAAATAACTTGAGGCAGTGAACATACCTAATACTCCTTCCTCCTCCTATTTTCCCCACAACAACAACCCTGAAAGGTGAGTTGGGCTGAGAGAGAGTGACTGGCCCAAAGTCAACCAGTCGGCTTTCATGCCAAAGGCAGGACTAGAACTCACAGTCTCCTGCTTCCTAGCCTGGAGCCTTAACCACTAGGGTCTTTTACTTCAGTTGTAAAAATCAGTTCCCATATTATCTTGGTAGCTTTTTGCAAGTGATGAACCACATATAGTCTGATATTACAGATAACTTTAAAAATGGCAATAATAACGGTAATAGTAATGCTATAATAATGTCTTAACCTCACTCCTATTTAGGAAGTAATAGGACAGCAATGACAGCTGTGGAATGTGAGGAATGGGGTACATTTGCAGCTACAAGAATGCCACATGGCCCCTTTCACGGTGGATTCCATTTTATTGAAATAATGCAAAAACTGAACTAATTTCACAGTGGTAATCTAACACAAAATGTATTAAACGGATAAAAAAATACATGCCCCTTTGGAACTGCATAATAGTGACCAGGGAATTGTCAGTGTTAATATAATTCAACTGTATTATATGTATTTAATTTAAAACTATATTTAGAATGGAAGTAACTTTTCCCTCACTCCTGTATCTGTCTAGCTGGGCCCTGTTCCTACGCTTGAATGAATTTATTTCCTAATCTATTCCTTGGACTACACAGCTATGTTTGGTGTCAAATACCTTCTACTCCTTATACAAGTTCATTGTAACACAGTCTTCTTACGTTTTAAGTGAGGTCCAGAAATGTCTGTAGAAGGGAAAGCTTAATCTATGATGTGGATATTGTTACAGATCAATTTTGAGAAAATGTCTTCAAAGAAAGCCACTTGGCACAGTATCATAACTGCTTAAATACAATTTTCCTCTTCATTAAAAGGCAGCAAGAGAACCTTAATAGGTATAGAACAGTGGTGCCCAACTTTATGTTGAATGAAGGACAGGCTGTATTTTTTTAATAATGAGGGAGGAGTCAGAAGTTGTAGAAGTTGTGACAAAGAAATGGAAAAGATGTATGGAAGAAGAGGTTCAGGCATTTTATTCAAGATAGATTCATTAAAAGTCTAGGAGGTTTAATGTACCTATTTTGAGGCTTGGTTTTATGTTAGAGGAGAAGAATAAACTGCACCATGGAAAACATTTTTGTTTTCCATATTTCAGTAGGGGGGGTTGGAATTCTGTGGTTCTTTATGGGACATCCTTTTTTCCCCCTTCAATATACTGTAAACTGAGCCCAGGCCAAACAGTATTTTCTAGAATCTTGGAAGAATAATCAGAACATTTAAAATGTTCTAGTCAATCAAGTTTGGCTAAAATTCCTTTTCATGGCTGTCGGCCTTTTGTTTTTGAGAATAGTTTATCTTTGCCTGTGATAGTGTCAGACACACCAGTGGCTGAATGTTGTTGAGAGAA